TCTGACAAACAGGCTAGGGACACCATTCCTTACCCATCCTGGCTAATAGCCATTAATGGTTTTAACCTCCATGAATTTATCTAGTTCTCTTTTAAACCCTGTTATAGTCCTAGCATTCACAACCTTCTCAGGCAAGGAGTTCCACAGGTTGACTGGGCGCTGTGTGAAGAACTTCCTTTTATTTGTGTTAAACCTGCTGCCCATTAATTTCATTTGGTGGCCCCTAGTTCTTATATTATGGGAACAAGTAAATAACTTCCTTATTCACTTTCCCCACACAACTCATGATTTTATATACCTCTATCATGTCCCCCCTTAGTCTCCTCTTTTCCAAGCTGAAAAGTCCTATCCTCTTTAATCTCTCCTCATATGGGATCCGTTCCAAACCCCTATTTTAAATTATAATTTTGGCCTTTGTTTTAATTTGCCTTTTGGGTTCTGAACGTTTACAGTTCACTTGCTTCATGTTTTCAAGCCTTTTTCCATAGGTGCTAGGGCTAGACACTTGATTTTTTTTTTTATTCCAACACCTGCAGGGGGTGGGGGGAGAACCACCCTCCACTATCTCAAGACTGAAAATAAAATTATGAGTTGGCAAGACTCACCCCAATCACAGTTTCCTACACCCCACCAGTCTCATAATCATTGTACAAACTAAACAAATATATGTATTTAATATAGGGAACTGTTTCCATAAGCTTATTTTACTGTAATCAACACACATGACCCTGATTCTAACCTGCACTCACAAGCTTTACACCACTGTGAATACAAGATGACCCACGTCCACCAGATCTAGAGCTGGTGTGATGATTTGGGGTATCTAGCTGTACAACTTATGGGTGATACTGGGATATTGTACTATAAAATTGCTGTATTTTTGAATGCTTCTATGTGAATATGAATCACATCCTAGCTGCCATGGGTGGTGTCACATCCTCCTAGAACAGATACAATGGGGAATAGTTAGAATTCAACAACCCTATTCTGGTGCAGATCCCTTGGAACAGTAGGTGAGCTAAAGCTTAGGAAAAAGCAGTTTTACTCTACCTCCTTTGCAGAGAGGGAGGAAAGTAGGAGCAGTGGAAATTTACCAGGAGCAGTACAGGTGACCAGCCAGGGGGTTAAATAAGGAACCACACAGGGGGAACTTGGAACAGGAGAGGGGAAGGGGATGGACTGGCCTAGGACCAAGAAGTTGGGCTGGAGGACATGATTTCACTTTTCAGCAGACAAGCAGTGCCCTGCACCAGGACTTGGACCCCAGGCCAAAGAATGCCCTGCAGTGGTGAGGAAACTGAAGCAGGGGAAATAGGCTGCAGGGTTTACTATTTTGTTTGATCTGTATTCTCTTGTGATTTATATGATTAAATAAAAGAACAATTGTGAGAGAGACTGGGAAAAGAGTCAGATGTGTTACATGCTAAAATTTACGAGCCTTGTGAGAGAGTTAAAATGGTAAACTAGAAGCTCACATCTTAGGGTGGAGTTCTGGGAGAGGGTGTTTAAGTTTCTGAGGTATCTTGGGGTTCAGCACTGGTACTGGAGGCCAAAGGGGTTCCATTTCCCTGAAAGTCAGTGCCCAGGAAACGTGCCAGAGAAGGAGAAAGGGAAGAAATAGTAGTGCAGCCTGCTGAGACCCCTACCTTGGGACCCACAGTGAGCAAACACAAGGGGCTGCTTGGCTAGGATTTGTGACACAAGGAGACTACTGCACACGTACAAGGGTTGTTTGATGGCTCAGAGCCATGGTAGCACTTCTACACCACTCTCCCTTCAAGCTGTTGGTGTACAGAGTATGGCCAAAATTTAACCCTTATAAGGTTTTTCCTAATTCCTTACCTAAATATCCTTTGCTGAATATTAAGCCCAGCATTTAGCATATTTGCTAACAGCATTTAGCATACACCTCTACCCCGATATAACGCTGTCTTCGGGAGCCAAAAAGTCTTACCGCGTTATATTGAACTTGCTTTGATCCGCCGGAGTGCGCAGCCCCGCCCCCCTGGAGCACTGCTTTACCGTGTTATATCTGAATTTGTGTTCTATCGGGGTAGAGGTGTATTTGAAGTCTCATCAGGTCTCCTCCTCACCCCATCTTTCTTTTCTCAAGACTAAACAGGCCTAGTTTTTTTAACCTTTCCTAATTGGTCAGGGTTTCTAACCTTTTATCATTTTTGTTGTTCTCTTCTGTACTCTCTCCCTCCTAACTGAAGGAAAAAGGCATACAAATGCCTAAGGTAATAAACCACGTTATCATATTGTTACCCTGGCCCTTCTACAACCCCTCCAAATTGTTTGTTACTCATGTCACATCTAAGCTTAAATTGTAAACTATTTCAAGTACTGACTTTGATTTCTATGACTAACACACTTTTGAAAAGTTACAATAAATATCTCCTGTAATTTTGTCTGCTCATCAATGTTTCCCTTTCATCTGTTACCTCAATAAAGATTTCCTGTGAATTTCTGCCAAGGAATTACTTATTCTAGTAACTTTGATTGTTTAAACTTTTTTTTCCTCCAAATCAGTTTTATTTCTCTTAAACTGTTTGAGACAGGAGTCATAATTATGGTTACTTTAATCTACTTAAAAAACAGCAGTTATAAATCTAGAGATTGTTACATGGGGGTATAGTGGAATGTGGATGTGGGCTATTTAATGGAAGGAAGTCTATCACTTGGAAAATATTCCTCCCGAAATACACCACAAAGATGAAGGCCTTGGCTTACATGGAAAACGTTTAGAAATTCTCCCACCTTAGATCTAGCACTGATACAGCTACACTCGGACTAAACCAATAGCATGAGAATTGCTAAAAATTATGTGTAGAAAAGGCTACACAGTCCTTGACAGCCAGACTTGGGGACACTAGGAAAAGGGAGTGCCTTGTGCTGCTGCAATTAGTGTGACAGCTCTTAGTGGGTGGGTCAGGAAGAGCGAAGTAATGCAGAAGAGCCTCTTTCTTGCCCTGCTGGCTGGAAGCTATTGCTAAAGTAGAAGATTATATGGAAGAGTGGCAGGAATGCCCAAGAGCTGGTGGTGTGTGAAAGGAGGAAAGCTAGTTAGGGCAAAATTGAACTTAAATTGTGGGTTGGAGCCAGGGAAATAAAGCATCTTAAAAAAAGCAAAAGATTTTACCCCTTTTCTTTCCCTGTTCTCACTACTTATGTTCCTAAAGGGATCTGTGCTGCTCCAGAGGACTAATGTGTTTCTAAGAGGGAACAAGGATTGACCATAGGGAAACCACTTGTGAAGGGATAGACACAGCTCACTCAGGAAGAAGAGTCCCCCTAAAATAAAACCACACCCATTCCAGCTATCATTTCATTTATTTGTGAGAAACGTAGGTTTGTGATACAAAAAGGATGATGGTCTAAATTATTTGGGAGTTTGAGGGGGCTACTTCCTAGGAAAACTATCACTTTATTAAAGTATACTAAATAGCCTGGTTAGTATCTAGGGCAAACAAAATTTAAAAACTGCTTTTGACTATAAAACAGAGGCAAGGAGGCCTCTAACACCATTTATATAACTGTGATCAAAGCCCTGTACAAACATTGACTGTTTAATAATATATCCTTATTACATTATTCTGAAGAGGCATTAGGTCCATTTTAATAATCGAGAAATGGGGCAAAAAGCCACAGAGAAAGTGAATAGTAGAGCTAGAATTTGAACTCAGGAATTCTCGACTCCCAGCCCTGCACTCATGCCACCCTTTGATAGCCAAGTTGCAATGGAACTCAGGAGAAATTATGTCCTACATCAACTGCATTAATGGCATAATATGCAGATCATATTTATTAACTTGGAGTGTTGATAGGAAACGTACAATGATAAAAACATTAGGTACCTTATTCTTTTTCTAACTTTGAAACATTAGGATAGAGTAGCTTAAGGCACACATGTAGGCTTTCCGCTTCCGATCTGTCCTGGGTGATGTTTCAACATGACAATTGAATGGCAAAAGTTCTGAGTGAGGAAGAAGACTTTTCTGTTTGGGGAGATTGGAGGCATGTCAAATTCTGCATATATCAGCTGGAAATCTGTAATCCAGTTCCAATTGTTTCAAGTTAAGGCAATGTGATACAGATGACAGTAAAGATACCAATCACATTTTGTGAAGATAAAAATTCTGTGATTTTACTACTAGTATAACACCCCCACCCCCAACTTGAGTCAGGATCAAAGCAGATACATATCCTAGTTTTCTGAATGAACACTAGCTTCAAAGAGTTTTGTTCCACTACAGGAAGCAAGAAAGCTTTCCCAAACATATTTGACTTGAGCAGAGATTATTTTGGCAGCTGCCTTGAACTAAGTGATAATTGTGACTGGATGTCAGAGCTAACCAGACAGTTTTTTCTATATTCCCACCATACCAGGGATAAATGTTTAGTAATTGGCAGACTGGCCAACATGAATCACTCTTTCTTGGAGCACAATTAGCTGTGAAAAGAGATCTTAGAAAAAAACATTTTGCAAAGGGATTATGGAGGGTAGGAAATGCAGGTGATTACAGTGTCTGCCTTTGATACAAACATCCTGCTCCTCTGCTGTCCCTTTGAACTAACTTTGATATGCAATAATTAGGAGTGGCTCAGCCCCTGAGGAGAGGTGGCTGCTGCTGCCCTACCTCCTTGCTCATTTTAGTGAATCCTTGTTTTGAACTATTGATCAAACAGATTTGAAGAGATTTATTGAAATCTGTGTGGGCTGAAGAGGAAGGAAATGAGGAGAGGAGGGGATGGAAAGGACAGCAAACTTGGCTATAAATACCCCAGGAAGGACAGAGCTCCTCTCCACAGATTTTCCTCTTAGGTTAGAGATGTAAAACGTAAGAACAACTTTTATTCAAGATTTTTTTCTTTTAAAAAGATTCACAAATATCCCATATTTGCTGAATCTGTGTTGCTTGTTTTCAAGCTTCAGCACATCTTAGACAACAGTGGTAAGCGCTGTAGAACTCACGGGGGGAAACACAGATCAACCTGCCTGAAGAATGGTGGCAGTCTTGCTGCTGGGGCTCAGCTGCGTCTGTTCCCCATTGGTAGCCCTGGTCCTAGACTACAACAGCATCAAGAGTTCAGCTGAAGTGCAGGGCACCAGAAAGGTGAGAGCTCTGGGGGTCAGTTGGGGACCTGAATTGAATTTTCAAGGGTTAAACGATCTCAGAATATTAGTAATATTTTGCAAAAATCTTATGATTTATTTCAGTTTTTAAACAGAAGGGTTACAACTGCTTGGAGTAGTGCTTGGCCCAGAAAGTACTAGAATTGTTAAGAGGAAACAAAAAATACTTATGTTCCTGACCCCAACAGACGCAGCTATGTGATAACTGGAGTTGGATCAACCATCCTAGCAGATAGAATTTTAATACTGTCATAGCTGTTGTGTATTTCTAAATTGGAAACATTTTAAAAATGGAATGACATCAAGAAATCACCCTATTAAAATATAAATGAAGTCAGAGCAAGTGATGGCCTGTCAGCACTGATCAGCTCTTCAGCAGAGCACTATGCTCTAATGCACTGAGTACAAGACGGGGTGAGCAAAGAGTGCTAGAGTTCTAATCTTGATTTGGGAAGTGATTTGCTGTGTAACATTAGGCTAGTTTAACTACTGGCACGTACAACAAACACAAATGTGCACAAACTGCTGCTTTAAAAACATGTCAGTTTTGTTAACAAGCTTTTACTGTTTCTTGCTGAAGATCACAACTGTGCTGGGCCCAATACAGGATAGAGAGGTGTAGACCTTGTCCTCCAGAGCTCCCAATCAAATGGAAGATCATAGACCAGACCCAAGAAAGATTATTCCAAAAATAACATGTTGGACTGATCAATGAAGGGGGCAGTAGGTTTTTGGGGGTTTTTTTGGGTGTGAGCAATGTATATTCTATTCTAAATATTGCTCATTTACAGCATTTTCCCCCTCTGAGGAAAATTATTTTTTCTTTGTAGAGTTCACAGTGCATAACAGACCAGGACTGTAATGCTAGCAAATTCTGCCTCAAGCCTGAAGATGAAGTGCCCTTCTGTGCTACCTGTCGTGGGTTACGAAGAAGATGCAAGCGTAATGCTATGTGCTGCCCAGGGACTATTTGTCTAAATGGTAAGCTATAATCATCTGGTGTCTATGATATTTAAAGGTTGGTAGAAATTAGAATTATATGTTTATAATCTATATGGTCTAAACACAAAAGTGGTCGGTGCCTGTTTTAAATTTTTTTCTGGTTTTCCCTTACCTCCTGCTAATGTTGAGATCATCGAGCTCTCCAGCATTTCTTTAAAACAAGCAACTATCTTTACCATGAGGCATCTGTAAAATAAAGTAATAAAAGTCCTATACATGCATCTGAACACATTTAGAATAGGGCAATTGATAGTAATGAGTTAAAACTGGTAGTTAGGAACTGTATACAATTAATAAAAGAAGCTAAAGGTATCAATGGGGGAAAAATATATATCTATATATCTCTATGGCCATTAGGGCTAAGGATAATCAGAAGGAATTCTTTAAATATATCAGGAACAAATTAAATCTGAACAATTTCATAGGTCTGAAATTAGATAAGGATTATAAAGATATCAATTATGATATGGAAAAAGGCAAAAGTATTCAATAATAATTCTGTGTTTGGAAAGTACGATGGAACCTCAGTTATAAACGCCTCAGGAATGGAGGTTGTTAGTAACTGAACAAAACATTATGGTTGTTCTTTCAAACATTTACAACTGAACATTGACTTCATACAGTTTTGAAACTTTACTATGCAGAAGAAAAATGCTTCTTTTAACCATCTTTATTTAAATTAAACAAGCACAGAAACAGTTTCCTTACCTTGTCAAATCTTGTTTAAACTCTCCCTTTATTTTTCTAATAGTTTATGTTTAACACAGTACTGTATCTGTGTGTTTTGGGTTTTTTATGGTCTCTGCTACTGCCTGATTGTGTAATTCCGGTTCCAAATTAGGTGTGTGGTTGACCAGTCAGTTTGTAACACTGGGGTTCGTAACTCTGAAGTTCTACTGTAGTACAATGATGTTTTGTATATTTTTAATATATTACAGTGATAAGATGACATGTTAACATCCTTGCTATTCCACCAGTAAGTAGGAACAGCAACTATTAAATATTTTTAAAATCATCAGGTCTGGATAACCTGCATCCAAGATTAGAGAATTGCCAGAGTTCTCTGAATCGTTAATATTGATTTAACAAATCTTGGAATACTGGAAAGTTCCAGAGGACTTGAAAATACGCTTATGTTGTACCAATGTTTAGAAAGTGTAACTGGGATGATCAGGAATAACTATAGGACAGTTAGTCTGACATTAATCCCAGGCAAAGTCATGGAAAGGATTGTATGGGATCCAATCAGTAAAGAATTAAAGGATGGTAGCATAATTGGTCATGATCAACAAGGTTTTATGGAAAATAGATCTTAAAAAATAATAGTGTGTGTCTGAAATGACAAGTTGGGTTAATAAAATATATCATATCAACACAACTATCTTTAATTTCTGTAATGTGTTTGAGTCCCATGTGACATTCTGTTTAACACTGTAAAAAAAAAATCAATACGGGCCATATTAAATAGATTAGAAACTGGATTAGCTGACACTAACTAAAGAGGGAATCCTCCTCCTAAGGGGAGGAGGGGTGTTTCTAGTGGGAGTCTCATGGGGATCTGTTCTCACCAAATGCTATTCAATATCTGTATCAATGATCTGAAAAGAAATGTAAAATCAGTGCTGGTAAAGTTTGCAGATGACACGAATTGATGGAGTGATAAATAATGATGGGAACAGGTCAGTTATATAGACCAACATGAATCACTTGGTAGGGTGGGCTTACTTGAACAATGTGTGTTTTAACAGTGTCAAATGCAAGGTCACAAACATGTAGGAACAAAGAATGTAGGGTCACACTTATAAGATGGGAGACAGAATTCTGGAAGGCAGTGATACTGAAAAGGAGTTGGGAGGAACGGAAGATGCCTTGATCATGGCCTACAACTCCTATATAGGAAAGAGACTTCTGACAGTGGACAGCTGACTCTTTAATCTACCAGAAAAAGGCATGACAAAATTCAATGGTTGGAAACTGAAGCTAGGTAAATTCAGAGTAAAAATAAGGTGCACATTTTAAAAATTAAGCTCATTAACCATTAGAACAACTGACTTAGGGACATGGTGGATTCTCCATCACTTGAAATCTTTAAATCAAGACTGGATGCCTTTCTAAAAGATATGCTATAGCTCAGTGGCTTTCAATCTTTCAAGATAACTCTGTCCCTTTCAGGAGTCTGATTTGTCTTGCGTACCCCCAAGATACACTTAAAAACTATTTGCTTACAAAATCAGACACAAAAATACAAAAGTCTCACACCATGCTATCACTGAAAAATTGTTTACTTTCTTATTTATACCATATAATTATAAAATAAATCAACTGGAATATAAATATTGTACTTACATTTCAGTGTATAATATATAGAGCAGTATAATCAAGTCACTGTTTGTATGAAATTTTAGTTTGTACTGACTTTGCTAGTGCTTTTTATGTAACCTGTTGTAAAACTAGTCAAATATCTAGATGAGTTTATGTACCCCCTAGAAAACCTCTGTGTATCCCCAGGGGTATGTCTACCCCGGTTGAGAACCACTGCTATATCTCAAACAGAGCTTATAGGTTTAATGCAGAAGTTACTGGGTGAGAATCTATGGTCTGTTATGCAAAAGGTCAGACTAAGGTGATCATAATGATCCCTTTTATCCTTAAAATCTACGCAGGTATGAACCTATAAAAGTATGATGTATGAGGGAAGGAGAGAAGGCAATTGGATACATTTTCACATCTGGAATAAAAGATCATTTGTTGTCTCAAAGCAGCTATGTTGGCATTCTTCCCCCCGCGCGCTTCTGTCCAAAATTACAACCTTCCACCTTTACACCAGATGTTTGCAGCCAGACTGCAGAAGTTACCCCAACAGAAGGAAGAAGGACTGATGAACAGGATGGTTCTGATTCAAAAGGGACAACTCAACACCAGATCCAAGAAAACAACTCTAAAAAAGGACTTGTCAAATCTCCAAGCAATAAAGGTAAAATGGGCCTAAAAGCTGAGAAATACCAGTAATTATATTCAATCTTGGAGGAGAAATATATTCCAGATTAGAAAAGTAAAATTATATGGAGGCATGTGTATGTTATCTTCCATTAGGAAAAGGAGGAGACCCTTACCATTCTATTACATAAAGAAAATGAACAGATTGGTCCCAACGTGCTTTAAAATTATGCACTGAGGATAACCACATTATTTCCTACATGGAAGTTATAATAATGCCAATCACAGAATTAGATGTTTTGAATATTAAATTGTCAGGAATTATGTTAAAACAAATGCAGAGAACAATAATCCCCATAAAATCTTTTCTGTAAAAATATAAACTGTTACTTACTAGGTTTGGATACAGTGTTGTAGCCACAGCGGTCCCAGGATTTATTAGAGACACAAGGTGGGTGAGGTAACATCTTTTATATTCAAGCTCTGTGGAAGCTCGAAAGCTTGTCTCTCTCACCAACAGAGGTTGGTCCAATAAAAGATATTACCTCACCCACCTTGTCTCTTTACTCACTAGGAATATTTTGACTGGATTCTGGACCCCGCTCTGGTGATGCAAAACTTGATTAAGCCAGCCTTTTGGCTGTTATCTGGAAATTCCCTGTTCATCAGGAAAAGCATAGGGGGCACAGCTGGAGTGTCCTTATTCCAAGGCTATTCCCGGCTTCCAACCACCTTTTGAGCTAGGGACAGCCAGGTTTAAATTATTGCAGCCTTTGGGCTCCCAACAGTTCTAGAGTCCAGGCGCCACAAAGCTGAAGTACAACTCCCCATCCCTGGCTGCACTAAGTGCAGCGTGGAATCTGGATCTACTTAGCAATTTACACTGTGCTCATCACAAATCACCTTTCATAAAAGTCAGAAACCAACTTTGCTAGTTAATGGCTAGCAAACTAGCAAAGGAGTGGGAAGAGGTCAGGCTTTGTTAAAAACATTCATCAATGTGCTGTTCTCTATTTATTTAAATTGAGAGTGCTAGTACTTGCTCAGAAATAAACATTGTTAGATTAGTTTCTCATGTGTCAATTTTCTAACACAGATTACTTGCAGGATGCAAGTTCATGTTAGGATACCACTATTTGGGGCTGTCTTCATATTGTGTCTAGTGCAAACAAAATGCAAACAACTGTAAGAGAGCACATTGTTTGTATTTAATAATAGATAATACCTAGCTCTTACGTAGCGCTTTTCATCAGATTTCAAAGCGCTTAATAAAGGTCAGTATCAGTATCCCCATTTTACAGGTAACGTAATATGAATATCTCTAAAAGGAAGGAATTAAATATGTAACAAATAAGTCAGGGAATACAAAAATTAAGATTCATAAAACAACATTAACCTAGGGAAACTGACATTATTAGAAAAAGGATCAAACAGAACCAAAGCAGCAGAGGGCAATAAGGTCTCATTAGCTCAGTTATTCAAAAAGCTCAAAAGAACTATTACTATTATTATTTGTACTATATTAGCATATGCTAGGTCTGAAATTGCAAACACTTATGCATGTGCTTAAATGGTTGTAGGAATGGGGTCACAGAGAGGAAATAATCTCTTTCTCAAGGAACTTACAATTTAAGAGAAAATCACAAGCACGCATATGCAAAGAGAGGACTCAGGAAAGGGAGGATGAGGTGACTCAAATACATTCTTGCCTTTGTAAGTGAGACATGAGAAGTAATTCTTCCACTCTAATTAGGCATCAACTGGAGTATTGTGTCCAGTTCTGGGCACCACATTTCAAGAAAGATGTGGACAAATTGGAGAAACTCCAGAGAAAAGCAGCAAAAATGGTTAAAGGTCTAGAAAACATCACTATGAGGGAAGTCTGAAAAAAATTGGGTTTGCTTAGTTTGGAGAAGAGAAGACAGAGGGGGGACAGGATAACAGTTTTCAAGTACATAAAAAGGTTGTTACAAGGAAGATGGAGAAAAATTATTCTCCTTAACCTCTGAGGATAGGACAAGAAGCAATGGGCTTAAATTGCAGCAAGGGAAGTTTAGATTAGACATGAGGAAAAACTTACTGTCAGGGTGGTTAAGCACTGGAATAAATTGTCTAGGGAGGTTGTGGAATCTCCAACATTAGAGATTTTTAAGAGCAGGTTAGACAAACACCTGTCAGGGATGGTCTAAATAATACTTAGTCCTGCCATGAGTGCAGGGGACTGGACTAAATGACCTCTCAAGGTCCCTTCCAGTCCTATGATTCTATAGACAGGTTATGTGTACAATCTATAGCCAATGCAGCTTTTTCTTAAAAAAAAAAAAAAAAAAAGACAGAAAAACTGTAGTAGTAGTTGTAGCTGCCATTATCAGTTGGTAATGTGCCATAGGCACCACACTAGCTGCTAACTTCTTTTGTGAATAAAGCAGATAGATTTCAAAATGGTAAAACTGGGAGGGAGTAGGAGCCCAAAGATCTTCTTCATTTGGAAAAATAATCCTCATATGAAGGAAGATTCTTGCAAGCCTTGTCCACAGTTATGACTGATGTTTAACAATAACTCATGCCTGCTGATTTTTAAGCCAGAAGATCAGCTAGAGGTCTTTGCAGTGGAGGACAGAGGGCTTTCCACAATGGGGGAGATCAGGACTGGTCTGAAGTGAGTCCCACCCCTCTGCTAGCAATCCTCAGTTTTGTGGTCAGCAACTTTTCTCTGAGCTGTTGACTCAGTGCCCACCGCTCAAGCCAAGAACCTCAAAGACATGGGGTATGTTATACATTTTATTCTGCTTACTGCAGGTCAAGAGGGAGAAAGCTGCCTTCGCACATCAGATTGTGCCTTTGGGCTTTGCTGCGCTCGCCATTTCTGGACCAAAATGTGTAAGCCAGTTCTCCGTGAAGGACTGGTCTGTTCCCGCCGGGGACACAAAGATGTTGCTCAAGGTCCAGAAATTTTCCAACGCTGTGATTGTGGCCCTGGTTTGTCTTGCCGACCGCCGCTCACTGGGCTGCCACAACGATCTCGCTTAAACATCTGCCAAAGAAGCTAAAGAGCCAATAAACACTGGATCCAGAGGGAGAACAAGGGATTTGCTGTCTACTCCAGAGTTAATTTATGCAAGATTCTATAAAATTATCCCTAACCTTCCACAGGCCAATAGAGCCCTGCACTGGAGGAAACATCCAGCTCAAAGCGAGATCTGGGCACTGGGCAACCTTAGATGTACATTTCATTCATATGGGCTCTGTTGTATCCTTGTGGGCTGCACTAAGTAGCCATCAGATGCTTACAAAAATCGCTTATGCTTTCAGATAGCATGAAGTACAAAAGGACTTGATTTTTTGTCTGCTTTTACCAACTATCTAGGGTCCTTTTTTTATAGCTATCATAGCTGTAGCATGTATAAAAATTCAGAGGTTCTCCAGCTGGTTTCCAACTATTTAGTTATTTACTAATATAAAAAAATTACTAAAGGAACTAGTAGATTCTTTCACAGGAATTGCAATTTACTTGTCAATAGGGTCAAATTATTTCCCAAGTGTTTCCAGGATGTTCAGAGCCACAGAAGAAAGCTGTTTCCACTTCTGGCTCCATCTCAGACTCAATGACGGAATCACATGTAAATGTCAGATACCATCAAAAAGTGCTTCATAAACTATTTACATAGAGCAGCAGAGATGAGAACAAGCTTTATCTAGGGCAAAAGGCAGTAGACACCTAAGATACTGCACATAGGGAAACAATCATTAAGACCATCAATGGGAATTTGTGAAAGTGGTGAATAAGTAAAAACTGGGGGTTATAATGAAAGTTATATTGCAACTTAAACTGCACCTAGCCTGTACTATGTGAATATTTTTTTCATTCTCTCTATATAGTATTTAGATACCACAGTGATAGACACCTTCTAATTGCTATCAATGCAAAACCTGTCATAAAACCTCTCATCTAAAGACTTCAAAGTTCTCTGTCTGCGAACATATTTACTGACTGTATAATTAAAAATATAAAATTTCACCTGCCACTTAAACAGTCACCATTGAGATGAAATGTGCAGTCAGTTTACAGTGCACAATTATAGTTCAGGGCAGGAGGTGAAGACCTATAGGAATGGACTTGATTATCTGCTAATTCCTTTCCCTAAGTGCTATGATCCTAACATACAGTAAATAGCTATTAAACCAAACTGTTTCCTTATGCAATTGCTCATCTGTTATATTTAATAATAAATAGCTGAGTTTTGTGCTGAGCATCTCCAACATGTTTTAACAGAAATCTGATATGGTTTCCAGATTTTTAAAGTTTATTATGGTTGTGAAGTCTACAGATTTGACCTCTGGCTTGCAGCACTTCAGGGAAATGTATCAAAATTAAAATGCAGTTTTCTTTACGCGGAGAGAGTGATCCCATGGACTAATGCTGTTACTGTCAGAGACAAGAGGGGATATTTAATTCATTATTTTGCACCTACTAACTTGGCCACCGATAAATCTATTCCCATGGTGAATATTTTAAATATAATTTATGACAAGTACATTGACTTTTATGAAAAACAAATACAATATCTTATTTAGAAGCCACCATTGAATACATTAATGGTAACTGTCCTTGTTAAGCAGCCACATTTTTCCACGGAAATTGTAGGGGAAAGTAATAAAACAAAAGCTGTGCTTTCTAAACACAGATATCTAGTATCCCAGGGAGAAAAAGGCAGACTATAATTTATTATTAGAAGACAAAATCTGGACCAATTCCCAATTTAATCTATGAGAAATTTTATCGTGAGGGAGCTGCTTGGTTCCTCATTTTCCCTGCAGACTTATCTTAGCACCTTAGCAAAGGGACTAATTAAAATTCAGATAAAAACCATGTCTGTATTAAAGATATTTTTGAATAAAAGGAAAGTAATCAAGTTGCAATGTTAGGTGATTTAATTTTTACAACACATTTTACTCTAGTGCCATGGAACTATTGTTTAAAAACAGTGTCAGTAATACACACCTTCTGAAGTAATGTTCAAGCAATAAATATGCACCTAGTTTTGACTCCGATGATTATTCATAAAAGCTACAAAATAAGTGAGCACTAGCTAGTGAACCTACGAATGCAAGTTATTCACTCCGTTCTTTTGGCTCTCGATACTTCCACTGTATGTAGTCAAAGATATCCTTTTCACTCTCTACTGGGAGGGGCTCCCCAGCAACTCCTGCAAACACAGTAAAGGTGACAGATGGGTGAAGGACAGCAACTTTGCAAGGCATTATGAGTAGCAGTGCTGTGCAGACACCATTTTATAAAGCAAGGACAGGTTTATCTAGAGAAAACAGGCTGATGTCTGAAAACCAAGAAGCTGCGTAAATGAATGAAAAGGAAAATAGGAGTCTGGTTAATAGTTAGATAAGGTCTAAAAACTAGATCTTCTATGCAAAAAAACGGATCAATATGTCACAAGGTGTTGAATGTATCACTGTAAATGCAGCAACTTTGTATCTCAACAGTGTCAATCCTAGAAATCTAGCTCTTGACACAGCTTTATAAATATACACCATCAGTTAAAATTAGACAGTATGCCCATCCCAAACCAACAGAAAGCTTGTTATAGTGCTGGAAAACAGATGCCTGCCCTGTGTGGCACAAATAGACCAGGTCTTGTACTCATTGAAATCAATGGCAAAATTCCATTGAGCTGGATCAGGCAGACCCAGAGGGGGGATATCTTGTGTGCGGGAGAGAAGAAAGCTGCCTCCTGATACTAGGTAGGTCTCTGAAGTCAGAGAGAATAGCGTGCTACATTTAACTGTAGCATTTGGCAGTAGCCCTTGAAACATCCTGAAATACTATTATGTGCGTATGGGTCTGTTTGGAGAAGAAAGGTTCACACTTGTCCTGAGAACCTAACAACCCCTCAATGCCAACTGGCAAAGGGTTCACTGTTCTGTAACAACTCCTGGCAGCCCTGACATACTCACTAGACCCACCACATTGCTTTCGTAGACTATATCCAAAAAGTGTCAAGTGAGGTATCTAATAAAAGCGTGTCATACCGATCCTCAGAAGTGTTGCAAAAATCTATGTATGGATGATATTTCAGGAGTTGTGTATGTGTACTGAAAATATGTTTTAAGAAGACTGTCTCCCACGCTGGAGTTGACAAACAGGTTTTGAGTCACACAAAGGAAACCTATTCATGTGTCACATTGTTGGCTATGCAAATTAATCATTGTAAGCCAATATAATGGAAGCCAAATCTGCACATGGAGTAAATGGGGTGGGAAGACACGAGAGACTAAATTACAGGGGGTCATCCTGATTCTGGGGACAAAACAATTAATTTGGGGGGGCTATAAGGAGAAGAACACCTCTTTATCCTCCACTGAGGAACCAAAAAGGACAGTGCTTTTTGCATTTATGAAAGGGGGATCTCAGCCATGTTGGTTGGAGATGCTAGGAGACTGCTTTAGGTGAGATAAACTACTTTAACAGACTAAAACCTCTAACTCTAGGAAGCGTGTTTTATATATAACCATTTCTGCTTCCATTGTTATTCTTACTCTCTCTTAAATCTTAGCTTCTAATAATAAACTTATGATTGTTTTCATTATAAATATATCTCAGTGTTGTAATGTTATATAGGAGCTGACTCTCAGTTGAATCAAACAAATGTGTGTACACTGTTCCTTGGGGGAGAGCCAATCTACTAATTTCTGTGAGCATTCAGTGACAGGAGTGGGACATTGCAAGGTGTGGGCCGAGGACTCTGAGGGTTGGTGTGTACTTATTATTAGCCTGCACAAAGAGAGATCTGTGGAGGCCTTGAAAGCAGTCTTTATGTAGCCAGAGGGATTTGGTTTCAGGGAGCTGAGCTACAGCAGGCACAGACAAGACCCTTTCGCACGAAGGGCAGGCAGTGAAGTGCCTCACAACCCTGAGTACCCCTGGGGAGCATCACAACAAGAGAGACCGGAAAGAGCACTTTGCGTAGAGACCAAACTCACCAGTAACTCCCAAGGGCCGGATTGTGTACTCGTTGATTGTGAAACCCATTTCCAGGGCATGAGTTCTCATGTTCTTATTGAATATGTCACTGCCTGTGAAGTACAGTACCCCACAATAATATTGATCCTTGGGGATCAGCCTAGAGTAAAAGAACCAAAAAACAAAATCTCAGTTCCAAGTCAGTTGGAATTCACTTGAGGCACAGTTTCTCTAATCTTATTACCATTTACAGCAAAACCCAATGCTCTACTGGCACCACATTACAGGACTCTGTATAACTATTCCTAGAACATCACCAGAGAGATTGCAATATTCCTGAAAATCCATCATCCTACAGGCACATACAAAAGGAAAGGGTGGTGCAACTACTCTTGCCCTTAAACTACTACTGAGCGGTTAAGGCACAGTACCCTGACAAGCCTCCCCGTTCAGTAATTGCTGGAGGGGAAGGATAGCAATGAAGATCCTTGTTTTGGAATCAGGAGAAGGGGGGCTTGCTTTGCAGTCAGGGATTGGGACATAGCACTTTCATAAATGCCCCATCATGAAGTTGTGTGTGCTGTGCAGTCCTGTTCTGTATGATACACACGAGGAGGTGGAATCGTGACAAATGCCCCCATTTTGGATGATGCTTTAACAAATGCATGTTCTAGCCTAGGAGTGCAGGCCTATTCCATTTAAATTTTACCTGATATCAATTCTCCTGTATGGATAATTGGTTCCATCTTCTTCGCTTGGCAACTGACATACACCCTAAAAGGACACAAGGAAAGCAGAAATTATAAAGTTATAAGAGTTTTAAATTGTCTTGGGCTTTTTTTTTCTTTTTTTCTTTTAAAAGAGAAAAACACTAAAATAGTTTTAAAACGCAACCATGGAGTCTGTCTAGTTATGTGATCATGCACAGGCATACAGTCTGAGAGGTGAATAAAAGGTTTGCTTATTAAACTTGCTTGTTTGGGCTTATGATTTCCCCTTGTTAATAACCATGAGGATGTCTAAAGAAACATAAGAATAAGAGAAAATCCAAGAGGAAAAAGTAGAAAGATTAGGACAACAGATAAAGCATCAGATGCCAGCATTTTGTAGTACTGTATAGCTGGCACCTTGCTTCTGTCTCTTGCACTTATCAAGTACAAGGTTGCATTTAGAGAGTTACAGAAGTTACTGCACGTATTAAAACTAAAGCATGCCAGAGATCAGGATCAATAATCCACTATGCTGAAAAGCAGGGTTAAATATGAATAAACTAATATTTGTACAGTATTACAGAAATGTTGATATTAAGCCATTGTGACCCCATGAATTACACCTGTGGGTGTATAGCTACAGTAAGGCATGTATCTATGCCATGCCAAGAGTCCCAGACCATTGTGATATCACCATCCTAACTCTACAGCTAATTTGGGTGAAACAATTTCATTGGTTGTATGAGAGAGACTGCACTGATAGTGGATTATTTGGCTCAACTGCCTGCCATATCAATGTGACACAAAATATCCCAAACACGCACAGCCACTCACTGCAGCACACACCCCTCAAATGTTACTCTCACATATCAGCACAGAATCTCCCAACACAATACCCTCAGACCCTCAAGAAACTTTTTTAACTTATTTAGCTATCAAAACTAAATTTAACTGACCCACTCTGTCCTGGTACCCGTATTCTCAACTCAGGCATTAATGTTTCTAAACTTTCTAGACAATCCTTGCTATACAAAAAGAACAAAGAGTCCTTGTGGTATCTTAGTCTGTGTCAGCAAAAACAGAGTCCTCTCTAACACGGTTACCACTCTGAAACCTTTCTATACAGAAAGCTAATTATAATGGAAGTGATGGCAACCTGGAAACAGAACAAAAAATATAACTAATTTATATTAATCTTTGCAGACAGCTTTCCTAACAAAATAGTGTCTATATATGACACACTGAGAAAAGGATGTGGGTAGACAAATTACCCCAGAAGAATGGGGTCTGATCTGGAAAAGAGTACCAACAACTTCAGTATGCAGCACAATAAAATAAAACTTTTTTAAGATACTGTTTCAGTGGTACCTCACACCAGTCAGGTTAAAAAATATAGATTGAATGGCGATAAATGTTGGAGAAATTGTGGTGAAAGAGGATTATTTTTTGCCTATATGGTGGACATGTCCAGTCAGAGAGTATTAGGATGCAAGCAGTAACCAAATATCACAAATTGCTGGATATTACCACATGATCCTTTGCTAATCCGCAGAAGGCTTTCTAATGGAAATGATCACAAAAAATGGAAATGAAGAATTAATCTCATCTGCTTGTAGCTGCCTGGCTGATTACAGCCTCACATTGAAAAAAGAAAAATAGCCCAACCATAGAGGATTGGTTAAAATTATTATATTTATATATAGATGGTGGTTGTTATAGAAAAATTAACACATCAGTTACGTACCCATTAAAATAGACAGAGGACAAATAGATATTTGGTTACCTTTAATATTCAGAAAAAATACATTCACCTGCAAAAAAACCCAATATACCTGTCCAATTAGTTTGAATATTATACATCAGATTGGCTAGGTCTATCTGTTAACTGTGTATATTGAGATATCACTCAATTTAGTAAGACGACTAGAAACAACATAGGGATTTTAATTATAATCACTCTATAATATGTTAAATATAAAGATCTGATGACAATATTCCTGTATAATGTCTCTTTAAACAAAAGCTAACTTGTAATATTTGTTGGGTTTCTGATACTCACTTGGCAAAGATTTGTAAACTTATTAAAAACCTCCTAAATAATAAATAAATCTAAACTCTGCAAGTATCACAACACTCAAGACTGAAACTAGCCTGGTGTCTCAAACTTTTAACACAAACCAGGCCCTTTTCCCCAGATAGCATGAACTTTGATACTAAACTGGAGAGCTACTAAACATAAGGAATCCCTCTTCCTTTCCTAAAGGCACACAATCAGCTAGAATATAGTTAAGTGAAGGACTCAAAAGGACATCTCAACTATCCCTCCCTGCTTCAGGGACATAGACATGTCAATTCCATAACTGAGTAGCAACGGACATAATCCCCTAACACAGCAGCTAAAAGAGAAGGAGCAGAATAATGTGTACCTCTATGCCACCTTTCAACTAAAGAACACGAGATTTTAGAAAAAAAAATCAAAATACACCACCTCCCTACAGAGTAGGTAAGTAACTGTTTTGAGGCTGGGAAGCTGAGGCACAAATAGAACTCCAGAGTCCCAACTTCCATGCCTCTACTTTTGCAATTACAAATATGCTGAGAACGCATGGTCACGAATGGAAAATGACAGCTAAATAGAAAAGCAGGGGGAAAGCATGGAAAAAATTGAGGCCAATGCAAGTCAGAACAGAAAGGCATTTTCTGACATTTAAAAAAAAGCAGAAAGGCTCTTACAGAAAGAATCACTGTATAATCCATTTAATTCACCTTCAATCTTTATGTTATGTGTAGTTGATAACTGTCTGGGATGACAGGGGGTGAGGGAGAAGAGGAGTTGCGATGAATGATCAGAGCTGTTTACACAGGAAACCCGAAAAACCTTGTAGAAATGTATTCCAGCTACACTAAGTTTTTCCCTTCCTTCCCTGATTACGTTTATTCTGAAAGCTCAAAAATCCTGTATCCTTTTGGAACGTGTTATGGGTTCTTTTATACGCTCTGTTGTCTTCACTCTGCGACATTTCTAACTTCAGCTGCAGTCCTGATTCCGCTTACTTTCCCAAGATTTCAACACTGCCTGCCATTTCTACTTATTCTACCCTGACACATCAACAGTGTCCTCTCCAGTAATGACTGTTTTACACAGAACATAGGCAGTAAAATGTCACATTCTTATAGACTTGTAGATTGGAAATGCTATTGGTCAAGATTTAAATTCAGGGCAAGTGGGTACTAATACCAGAAGGGCTGGCCAAGGTGAAGTAGCAGTTACTGCTACAGAAACTGAATTTCATCTCAAATCCACTATCACTTATTTAATAGCTTTGAAAGAGAGATGCACCAAAAAAGTCAGTGAATTGTGTCTTTTTAAAAAAATAAAGAATAGAACGTGTAGTGGAGACACAAGAAAATGAAAATACTATAGTCAAAAATGTTACCACTTCGTTTCCTATCACACAGTGTCCTTAGCAGAAAATAGCAATATTTCTGATCAGAGGAGCTCTGGGGCTAAGAGGACAGAAAACGGAAATATCCTAGGTCAGAGTGAGACACCAGACAATTCACTGCTACGCTACAGAATTCTTTTTAGTTTGGCCAGACATAAATCCCAGTGTGACCAGTTTCTGGCATAGATCTGGTTCCATTACAAAGAGCTTATCCCAAGAACTAACATTGGATAAAATAACCAGCTGGTGGGTTATCAGTGGTCACCGCTTTGGGTGGATCCCTGCAGCTTCTGCTAATTACTTAAAGGCCCTTCTAAATGTGGCTTTCACTGATCTGATAAAGTCCTCCCTCTCCTCCTTTTGCTACTTGAAAGCCTCACACAAGTACATAAACATATGCACTACATAGTCTGGGGCAATCGAGCAGCTATCCTGCATATATTCTTCATCAATAAGAGCCATTCTATTAAATTAGCAACTGGGAATAGCCCAGAGTATTGGGATGAAGTTCAATTTAATTTTACTCTTTATATTTTTTTTTTTGTCCCAGGAGCACGGAGTGTAACAACTTCACTGATTTTATCGTTCTAAGAAATGCCAGGAAAAACAAGTTTAATTTCACAAGAAACTGTACACAGAGTTTAACTGAGGTGAGCACAAATCCATTTCTGATTCTCATCCCCTTTACTTCAAGTGAAAATATACGGAACCACCTGATAATACCTTTCCCTCTGTAACAGCCTCTTAAGTTTCAAGAATAGATATTTATATCCACTTGAAACAGTTACTGTGTAGGATCTGGTTCATATTTTACATTCTTTTCTATGGTTTATCTGAATATAATGGTTTAGTATAAACTTAATGGTGATCATTTAGCAAAAAGTGGATTCCCACAGCATGCCCAGCAACACCAGTCCCACAAATCTCTGGCTTCTGAAGATCATCATCAAGCTAATATCAAAGATTGAACGGAACTAATCAATTACTGTCTTCAGTCCAGTCATAACTGTTGCTTATGGTTTTACCCATCTGTTGGGATTAACTTTTCATCGGTCTTTAAGAACAAGGTATTTGGAGCCTGTAGAGACAAAACTCCAGGTGGAAGTGAAATATCATAGCACTCGTTCAATACTCAAAAAAACCCCTAAAAAAAACAAAACGAAAACAACTTCTCTTTTGAAAAACAAGACTTCAGCTTGTTCTTCCAGACAAAGAGGAGTGCTTAGCTTAAGGGTCTGTCTCCTGATAAGGTACATTACAATGAAATGTAAGACTGGTCATAAACCCTCAGAGCTATTCTGGGGTCAAAGATTCCTTTCATGTTCTGTTCTACAATACCTGATGGTTGACTTCAGATGTAATTTTTCAGAGGAATGCCCTATTTCTGAATGTCAAGCCCGAGAGAAGGTTTTTTCCTTTACTTTGATTTAGATGTGAAATTAATAGAAAGATGTTCGAGCTTAGCCACAAAATTTCTCATATGCCATAAACTGGCATCCAGAACTAAAGAGGATGATACAGAAACTCACACCAGAGCAGTCTACATCTTCAAGTAACAGAGGCTATTATCACAGCAGAAGATGGTTCCTCTGAATCTTGGAGAGTTTCACATCGAATATATGGCTATCTAGACCAAATTGTGAATTCAAGACAAATTTCAGGATCATCATCCAGTGTAGGCTGAAGGAGCTGAAAGTGCATTATAGGCTAGAGGCAGTGACAACAAGGTGGGAGTGTACTTTGAGTCTGAGAATCTGGCCTAAGAGATGTGTTAGTAAAGAGGTATGTAGTGGGGCATGAGAAGGGAAAGGGTAGGCCAGTGAGGGGAAGCATTAAAAGAATTAGAAAGCGAGTACAGTAGTTGGTAGGGTGGATGGAGATGTGTTGAACATTATGACATACTGGACTCAGATAGTAAGTCACCTGGGGATAGGATTTAGAGTTTTCACTCACTTACATACTACTTGTTTTTGTATTGTTTGTTTTTTTACAATTTAAAGAATACAAAACTGCACATTAATCTACAAAAGGAAAGAATGTTCATTACAAACATTTCCACACATGTAGCTGAGAGACTTTTTTTTGTTTTGTTTTTTATATAAACACAATAGGATAAAATGCTTCTTGGGGAAAAAATTCTCTCCTCTTTGGTTACTGCAGACAGACATTGTTGTAGGAAGTTAATATTATAACAAAAAGGTATTACTAGCCAATTATTACTCTGAGTTACTGCATAAACTTTCCTTTTTTAATCAGAGATACGTAACAGTAAGCAGCATATTTCTTGTATATCAATCACAGAGATACTGTCTTTTACATTAAATATTCAAAGAAAACTCACCATGAATTTCGTATCACCCTTTGACAATGTGTCTGTGACAAAGTGGATTTTTTTCAATTGTTCTATAACTTGGTGCAAAAGCTTTGGCTGGAAACAATAAATTAATGTCAAAAGTAAACAAAGTGAAATGAAACATTACCTAACTAAGAAAGAGGAACCTGTTTGTTTACCAGCAACGTGACCCACAGATGTACAATATGTCCTTCTGAAAACCAAGGAGATCTCAATGATGGAAAATATTTTTTCAGGACCAGATTCTGAGACTTTGGCAGAAACTACATACCATAAATAAATCACTACTTGAGAATCTGGTTAAGGAAAATTGTTCTCTCAAACCTCTATTGTATTGCAAGACAAAAGAAGAGCACTGAAGTATTTTCATTAGACTTGACAAAACTTGTTGTACAATTTTAAATCTTATATTTCTAAATTAATGACCTTCTGTTTTTGTGGCTTGCTAGTTTCCATAGGTCCATTAGCATCTGCTTTGATTTAATCTAGAAATATTCTTTTGTAAATACTAAAGAATAGCACTGCTAACTTTCAGTGACGGTTAAAGATTGTTCTGTGGCATAATATACAGTGGGAGATTCGCTTCCTATTCTGTTGGTTCGCTCCATACAAAAAGGTACCTCATTCCTCTTTAAGACCTATTTAAAAAAAAAGGTGATTAAAGTGTGTCAACGGTATAAATATATGCAATTGCCTAACAGGAAAAACTCTTTAAGAGAATGATGCAATTGACACCTCAGAAAATGTGATCCTGGAAATTCTAAAAAGTTGAGGTTACACTTAAACAAAATATTTGGGAGCACAAAATTACAGGGTCACCCAACTACTTTAAGTCTGCCCTCATCCTCTGCTGAGTTTCCACCCTCAGTGTCTGTGATAATGAGTGGAAGAGGGAGACATTGATATATATATAAAAAAAATAAATAAAGACTTTGCTACTGGTGGACACTTCAAATCCATTACTTCCACTTTAATTGCATAGCTTGCCAGCAGAATAAAGGAACTCTGGAACAGAGTGTAATGACACTGGTATGTAAATTAATGACATTTTTGGTGTGCCCCATAAGAGGCTCATAGCTTCAGATACAATAGTCAAGCCTGCATTAAGCGTCTTGTGAGACAACGTTTTTCCATTTTAAAACACAAATACTTTTTTTGGGAGGTGTGGGGGACTCTCCTGAAAGTAGCTATTTTTGGTGACAAGATAATAAAAGCCTGTTTTTTGCCAAAAGTGCATATGGTCTCAAAGAAGGCAGGGCCTTTTTTTTTTGGTCATGATATAAATCAGGATCACTATATAATGCTACAGAAAAGTACACTCAATTTATAAACAAGAAAAAGATACCAAGCACATTACACTGAACAAGCAGCTGTCTGATTACTCTGTGCCCTCCATGGTCCTGGCCACTGTCCTTCCAGCTGCAAACAGCCAGCATTTTCGAGCACTTCTGTAGTATTAGGCAAAAGGGATCACGCCCTTTTCACCACAGGGACTAAGTACTAATTCCCTGGTGGCCTGAGGAGCAAGAGACTGAAATAAACTTTATCTTCCTCACTGCAGTGCAAAGCATTAGCTATTGAGCCAGGCCTGCATGCATTGTGTTCAATATATTAGGCGTGAAATTTCTTTAGCATATATAAGAGTTATGCAAAATACTTCTACAAAATGATTAAAATGTGTCATATCCAAACACGTGAAGGGTAGTTTGCATAATCCCCCATATAATGCAAATCCCCAAATATTCAGGATTTTATGAATAAACTATAAAAAGTTATTATGGTGTCAAGGAATAAGTGCAAAAAGCTGCAATATGAACCCAAATGCAAAGGAATTTATGATTTTATGATCTGTTGATAAAAGTTGATAAAACTCAGCTTTTAAATAGTAATAAGTTGTATAGAGAAAGACAGGCACCTGTTTGGTTGATTCAGAAGTGAAACTTGGATGGGTCAGGAGAATATCCATATCCCCACTTGATTCCGCACCTGAGAAAGTAAAGAGTGAAGAAGAAAAGCTGTTAAAGTCTTGATATCAGTTAAGAACAGACCACAGAGGGTTGTGTTTGAATCTTAGTGCTAAAGAAAAGAAGAGAAGCTCCTCTATCCGCAGAACTAGCACAGAATAGTTATTAAGGTTTTTAATAATAGGGTAGACAAAGACCTGTCAGGAATGGTGCAAGTATATACTTGGTCTTGCCACAGCACAAGTAGCTTGACTAAATGACTTCTCAAGATCCCTTCCAAATCTACATTTCTAAGTTTATGATTAATAGGGCAGCCTCTACACTATCTCCAGGAGTGCCGCCAGCTTTTCTGCCGCCCTAGGCGGTGGAAGGTCCCGCCCCGAAATGCCTCCCCCCACAGAGGTGGCGGAAGGTCCCGCTGCCGAAATACCGCCGCGGTCGCCGCCCCCCAAATTGTAGTGCCTTAGGCGACCGCCTAGGTCGCCTAATGGATTGCGCCAGCCCTGACTATCTCAACCCTAATGTGCTAATACTAAGAAGTTACATAAGGGACCAAAAACCATTTTCAATTGATAGTAAAAGCATTTAAGGTCTTTCTGTTCCGCAGCCTGTTGAATATTTTCTGCTGTGTGCTTCCACCAATCATTTTTTATTTTACACAGCTTAGACAGAGTAGATTGTTTAGAGCTGTGACAGGTGGCTTTCTTAGTGATTGAAGTCTTGACAGATAACCATGCTTTATGTGCCTCACGCAATGAGTCAAGTACTGTACATGCATTATCTTGTGGCAGCATTCCTATCCATAGCGAAGATGGCAGTATGCTACACAGACAAGACAGACATCATCCAACGCTGGGCTGAACACTTTGTCTACTTAATCATCCATCTGCAATTTCAAAAGCTGCTATCGATGGTGTACCATGGTTCCCAATACATGAAGGACTCACTAGGCTGCCAGTGTTACTGAGACAGAAACTGCCAAAAAACAACTGTCACAAGGAAAGGTGCCTGGCTTAGATAGAATGCTGTCAGAAATCTATAAGCATAGTGGTTATCAAACATCTCAAATGCTTACACGGCTCTTCAACATCTGGGAGCAGAAGACCATGCCTCAAGACTTCAAGGGTGCTTCAGTTGTTCATACATACAAATAAAGGTGATTGAGTACTCTGCAACAACCATCGTGGTATCTTGATTTTTTCCATTGCTGGGAAGATTTTGGCTTGCGTCTTGCTCCCCAGATTCTTCCACATCACCAATAACATTTCAGAGAGTCAGCATGGCTTTCGCTTGGGACACAGAACAGCAGACATGATTTTTCGGCTTGTGAAAATGCTGGGAACAAAACTGTGATCTTTATATGGTGATTGTAGACCTGATGAAGGCCTTTGACACTGTTAGTCGGGAGGGTCTCTGGTGAATCTTGACCTAAGCTGGCCACGCAAATTTGTAACCATCATGCTATCATTCATGCTGGCTAGAGTGGTGGAAAAAGGTGCTTCATCAGAGCCTTTGTCACGAACAGCATGAAGCAGGGCTGTGCACTTGCACCTACACTATTTACCATTGTCCTTAGTGCTATGCTGCTAGATTCTTTCAAAGACTACGCAGCATCTTCAATCTCCAGTGTCTTTGTGCTCACATTAAAGCAATCGACTTGTTCATTAGGGAGTTCCTCTTCACTGATGATTGTCCACACACAGCACATACCGTCCAAGACATGCAGCATCCGATAGATGGCTTTTCTAGATCAGCAAAGCTATTTGGACTCTATCTGCCTCAAGAAAACCAAAGTACTTTACCAGACTGCTCCCAGAAAAATGTATTCTGCCGCTGAAATAGCAATTGCTGACAAGAGTGCTTAATGCAGTAGAAAAATTTTACTATCTTGGCAACACTTCATCTGATAATGCCACAACTGACTATGAAATCACGCAGTGCATTTCTAAAGCCAGTTCTGCCTATGGTTGACTTTGCTGCCACCTGTGGAATGAGAGAGACATTCGACTTCACACCAAGATTACTGTCTACCATGCAATTATGTTAAGCACGCTTCTCCACAGGAGTGAAACATGGACACACTATAGCAGGCACTTGAAGCAACTAGAGAGTTTTCACATGTGCTGTATGCATCTCAACTGTAAAATCAAATGGCTGGACAGGACACCAAATACTGAAGTTCTGGACCAGTGCTACATAACTGGCACTGAATTCCTAATCAGACAGGCACAATTTTGCTGGGCTGGTCACCTTGTACATATGGATGCTACACAACTCCGCAAAGCCATATTTTAAGGACCATTGAAAACAGGAGCACCTATGCTGGGGGGCCAATGAAAATGACATGACACTCTGAAAGCTCACTTAAAAGCTGACCACGTCAACCTGAACACATGGGAAGTTGCTGGTGCTGAGAAATTAGGATGGCAGCAGACCTGTTGGTCTGCAATTAAAGCCATCGAGAATAGCAGAAGAGAAAAAGTCAAAGGGAAACATGAGCAAAGAAAGTAGGCTTTGGTAAAAAAAAAAAAATAAAACAAAAAAAGCCATGCAGCAATGTCAGCTTAACATGCGGATGCATCTGCGGATCCCTCATCAGTTTACGTTTGTGCAAGACAACGCACTGAAACAAACTGACTCTCATATGTTGACCATGACAGGAGACTCCAACAGAGCTAAGAAGTGGATTAATTTTCATGGGACTCTGATGAAACTGTCAAGCATTTACCAATTAGTACCAATTTTGGTGGCAGCTTGTGTGATGTGGATACTTTTCATTGGATACTGAGCTGAGATCACCGACTTGCTCCACAGAGGCCAACCAACCAAGTTAGTACTTTGACTACTTGATCACACAGCAAAGTATCATCTCTGTGCCTCTTATTCTTAAAGTTTATATAGTGTTATGGTGTTTAAAGACAGATAACTGTTATTTAATAAATGCAATTCTGAATAAGAACAACTTCTAAACTGCTTAACAACTATTTTGTACCAAATCTACGTCTGGCATAGGTATATTTAAAATAAAATTTAATTGGGGAACGTGACATATACGCAAGTCTTCATTAGTCTTTCTTCATTCGAATGCTAGACTTTTTACTACTGGCGTGAACAGTGGCTGATTATGGACAATGACATTTATAAAGTTTTTATTTTTTAAGCTGGAGGACCTCATATATAATTCACACAAAAAATTACAGTCAACCTCACACTCCTCAGAAAATAATTAATAGACTAAAGTAGTGAGGTTTCTTATGCTTCATACTACACTAGTGGAAGTAATCATAAAAGATTAAACTACAGATGCCAAAATAAGTAAACATGTCACATTTTATGAAATTTTAGCTTTGATATTTTAATTGAGTTGGTTCACTTACTGAAGTTTGCAAAATAGGAAGTAATTTTCAATGGGTGTTTATTATTTGTGTGAATTAGCAAGGTTCTGTTATGCTACATGTCTGCACATCAGTAATAAGAAAAACTCCAGAGTAATTCTGGAGCAGATGCGAGAGTTTTGAGGAGAAGGAAAATTTAAAGGAAACTATTCTTTGGTTTTACAATTCGCAGCATCCTACTCCGCTTCTTTTTATATCGCACCCATAGCCTTATATGTACAAACTGAACTAGTCAGTCTAAGCAAAAAGCAAGAAGTAAGTTTATTCCATCTGGTCAGTGTAACAGATTTTGCATTAAGGACTATGCACATTAGTACAAATTAAAAAAAACACAACCTTAAGGTCCACAATTCAGACATTTGTCAGTAAGTTTTGACTTCTAGAACCATGATGTAAATGTGACGGCACAGTGGAGTACCAACCTCGCCTGAAACTGCCACAGACTGTAGCAATATATTCGGGGTCCAGTTTCTTAACCTCTTTCAATACAATTTCCTGTTGAGAAAAAAAAGAGAGCAAGATCAAATCATTTGAGCTGCCCTCTGTAGTAAGATGAGGCCCTGAAACATCAACTCTTGTGTCAGAGGCCCAGTCTGAGGCCTGAAGCAAAGTACTTCCAGGCACTGCTAAGCAAAAGCTGGGCTGTGAGCCAGAGGCAGGCCCCACTCACAGAAGTTGGCAAGAAGAGGGCTGCTAGAAGCAAGTGCATCTTAAAGACAGGGTCAAAAGGACAGCATGGTGGATAGAAACAACATGATCAAAAGGAGGAGACAGCCCCCAATGAGTCAAGGGGCTGTACTTCAATACGTCAGTAGGAATGAGTAATCTGTCCTGTAACTGTATAAAAGTAGGTCCCGGAGTGCGTATCTTTGTCTGGCCTAGGGGGCAGTGGAAAGTCCCGCCACTGACTGAGCTGGTCCATTGCCAGGGGGCACAAATTCGTAGTATGTTTTGTAGACATACATACGGGAAACTATTACTGTGCTTCGTTTGACAATAAACCTGGCTCGGGTTCCTTCTTACCTTATTAGAGTCTGTGGTCATTGGGGGTTCTCTCGGGGTCTGCTGTGTCAGCTATCTGTGCAGAGCTGGGGCAGCACACAGAGGGAACACGCACGCAGCCGACTGTTATCATTGAACAAGAGCAGAGCACCACACCGGTAGCTACTGACAACACCTTCTTCATTTGTTCTCATTGCCTTACTTTGTTGAGGAAGATTATATCTTACCTGCATCTGTAACATCTCTTCTCTAGGGATTCTTTTCTCAAAGTCTTCAAAATATCTGTACAAATAAAAAAGAAGTTGAATGACTATGAGTAAGGCAATGCATTTAAAATTTAACCAAGCAAACATTAGATAAAACTCCATACATTTTACATTAAACTGATTCTAATCAATTCTAATCAAACTAATAACCTAGACAGTGATACAAACCAATGATCACAGGTTCCTTTTGCTAGTCTCAAACACCTCAGAAATTCCCATCACCGCAGGTCCTCTCTTTCACCACCATTAAAACAGATTTCAGAGGGGAGAGGAAGTACTGCTATCATACAGGAATACTGTATCAAGAATTTCTTCTGCAGCCTTCCAAAGGGGACAAGAACTTCATGGCTTTAAGAACTGACTCAGCAGCAGCAAACAGAAAGCTTTCCTTAACCAGTGGTCAGAGGCACCCAAACCATCAATTTTTCTTGAATTTAGACTCTCAGTGATCCAGACACAACATTTCAAATCAGAACCTGAGAGGAAAAGCCTGTTTTTTTCGCCACCTTTAATAACTCAAAAGTGGATAGGCTGAGCTGACTAAACCTTTCTAAAACAATGCATCTTTGGACTGCGACCAAGCACAGCTAATTTCATTCCCAAAGAAATTTGTTTGGGTAAGTTATGAGCAACTGAGAAAAGGGCAGAACAGGGGATGGAACTGGATCTTACCTATTAAGTGTGCTACTTATGGTTGCTATAATCTTAAAGAGTGTACTGGCCTCTGGAGGAATTTTTACAGAAGCCAAGCAACTATGTCCATGAAAATGAAACTGTCTTACTTTAGCCCAATTCGCTGATGATGATTTAGCTTGTGTTCATTTTTCCTTAGATCTGGAAGAAGCAGAATGACAGAAAAAATACTCAGGAGGAGGAAAATAACTTTAGCAAATAGATATTTGTTGTAAAGATGCATTGTAAAGATGATTTAACGCAATAGCAACTTTAAAGAGAAACACAAAGGGTAAGAGTTTTTGTTGTGCTTGTAAATTATGAGGAGGCTACCCTATGGCTCACAGAATGAATGCAGTAGCATCTACTAAAACCACACCCCTATGCCAGGACACATCCCTTATGCCAGCGTTTGCAGCAAGGGCATTGCAGGGCAGTGTAAAATGGCTAGCAAAAAGCTTGCTCAGGGGAGAACTCTACTCTGGCTAGACTGGGGCTCTTTAATCCCTCAAAAAACAAACAAAAAAACCCCACCTCAAAACCCATCCCCTGCAAAATCCACATACAACCCCAACTCCTCACAGATTAAAAGTCCCACTTAGTTGCACCCAAGAAGTCAGTTCTAGTCACTGAGCAAAACTGTCTTAGGAAATAGTGAACCTAAAAAAAAAAAAAAAATCAGTAAGGAGTAGTCATTGTAATGTTTAATATCGTGCTCAGTGCATACTTGTTGATTTCTACATTTATAAAGGGCCAAACCTTCAGCTGTATTGGAACAGCTGACGCAGAAGGTGGTCTTTTGATTTGGACCATCCCAGACTGAAGTGGTCTCTGAAGCAAGTTACCACAGTCCAAGGGCTGCACTGATGGACAAGGTGTGATCTTATGTGAAGATAAAATATGAGGCTCAAAAAAGGAAGTGAGCGCCAATCCAGGATTGTTTCCCAGTTTGATACATCTCCAAAATGGCATGGCCTAGAATCCCCACATTTGTTTTAGTCTGTTGGCAAGAATGGTAACTTGAACTGGTTTTGGAGCAGTTTGTTGGCACAGCTAGTTACCAAAATCAGTTTCTGCATACTTTATGGGCCACAATACAGTAACTCCTCACTCAATGTCCTCCCGCTTAATGTTGTTTCAAAGTTATGTTGCTGCTCAATTAGGGAATGTGCTCGTTTAAAGTTGTGCAATGCTCCCTTATAATGTTGTTTGGCTGCCTGCTCTGTCCACTGCTTGTAAGATTCTGTGGAAGAGCAGCGACTTTACAAAGGAGCATTCCCCAAGTTCCTCTCCTCCCCCTCCTACCGCTTCCCCCACCACCAAACAGCTGTTTGGCGGCACTTAGGACTTTGGGGGCGGGAAGAGGAGCAGGGATGTGACGTGCTCCGGAGAGGAGGTGGAGTGGGGGTGGGAAGAGGTGGGCCTGGAGTGGAGCAGGGATGGGAAGAGGTGGGCCTGGAGCATCCCCCGGCAAAGTCGGCGCCTGTTCTTCTCCGGGGAAGCTGCCACTGCTGCTGCAAAGGGGCTTCCTAGTGTCCTTGCCTGCAGTGGGCTGTACCTGTGTGGGGTAAGCCAGGGGCACTTCCCAACCACAGTACAGTACTGTACAGTATATAATGCCTTTTGTCTGCCCCAAAAAATTTCCTTTGACCCTAACCCTCTGCATTTACATTAAATCTTATGGGAAAATTGGATTCGTTTAACACAGTTTCACTTAAAGTTGCATTTTTCAGGAACATAACTACAACGTTAAGTGAGGAGTTACTGTATATAATTTATGACATCATAAATTCCAAGGCCAGAAGGGACTATTGTGATCATCTAGTCTGACCTCCTGTATAACAGCCCATAGAACTTCCCCAATGTAATTCCTTTTGAACCAAATCACATCTTTTAAAGAAAGAACTGATCTTGATTTAAAAATTGCCAAGGAGAAATTAAGAGGGGCAGTGGTGGCTTAACACAAGAATGAGCAGGAGGGAGAGAAAGGCTAGGCAACCTGGGAAGGAAAGGGTCTTATCTAGTAGCCTGTGTCCCAAAAAACGTTTTTACATTCCCAGGCAAAAATATTTAAGGTGCAATTAAAGTATCCATCAAAGTAGAAGACCTTAAAAGAAAATGGCAGTTTTAACAACAACAATGTCCACAGAGCAACCACAACAGGCAGCAATCCTATCTTCAAGTAATTCCCCATTCCATCACACCAGTAACATTCCAATCATGTGTAAGAATCTCCAAAAAGTATGAGGTTTCAAGAGTAAATGAGTTGTCACACTGAGAGACTTAAATATGGTAGCTTACAGGTTCTTAACAGTGAAGATCATTAACCATTTCAACTGTTTATCAAGGGTTGAGGTGGATTCTCCATCACTGGCAATTTTTAAATCATGACCAGATGTTTTTCTATGTAACATGCTCTAGTTCAAACTGGATTTATTTCAGAAAAGTTCTACAGCCTGTGCTATGTAGGTAATCAGACGAGATGATCACAGTGGTCCCTTTTTACCTTAGAATGTATGAATCTAGCGTACATCCAGCTCTTAGGCGCTGAACGAAAAGAAAGGGATGGATGCAGTGTCAGTGGAATCAAACTTATGCAACATAAGCACACAGGTACTACCAAAGCCATGCACTTCAGAGTTTGCAGCACTAGAAGAAATAATTGAAAAAGCCTGTTTCTTCAAACCAAGTCACTTTCCCTTTCCCCATATTTTGGGAGAATCCCCATCTGAAAATTTATCTGGTGCCTTTCTTCCCTGCACTGACTCAGCTTTGGAATGCTGAATGCCTATCCTTAATTGTATAACTGCTGTCATTTATGCAGCGAGCAGTTTTTCACAACTTGAGTCATAACCTTTTCACATTCTTCCAATCAAAGGCTCTGAAATCAGCAAGGTTTATGGTACACTCACCTTCCAATGTCTTTATCCCTTCATCCACAAGCTTCCTAGCTGCAGAAGGACTGCAAAGAATCAGGGCACTTCTTAACCAAATTGACACAGTGAAACCTCTCCAGCAGAAAATGTTATATCAAACAGTAGCACATTACACCAGAATTTACTAACAGATTACACTGAAGTTTATAATCAGGCAATTAGTTCTCCAGTACAAAAGCCATTTCTTACATTCATTCTCACATTCTCCCTCAACTTGGCATACACTGCTTGCATGGACCAGGAAATGGAGGAAGAGGATGGGAGTTAGGAGACCTGGGTTCTATTCCCAGCTTTAACAGTGGCTTTGGACAAGTCACTTAACTTTTCTGCGCCTTGGTTTCCCTACACGCAAGAGAACAATGTTACCCACATTAAAAAGTTGGCTATGGAAAGGCTAAAGTGGGTTGTCATCAACTCGATTTCCTCCTACCTCTTCAGTAGCTCCTTCACATTCCTTTTGGAAGTCGCTCCCCCTCTCCATTCCAGCTCGTCAATATCTCTCAAGGCTCTATCTTTTGTCTGCTCCTCTTTTCCCTCTCTCTGTTATAAGCAGGTGACCTCATCCACTTCCATGGCTTCCGCTACCATCTCTTCACTGTCATTTCCCCAATGTACATTTCCCCTGGGCTCAGTCTTGAATCTTTAATGTCTCAGTTTGGATGTCCCGCTGCCAACTCAATCTCCATATTCTTTCTTCAAACCCTCAATTTCTACACTGCTGTTAATAACTCTACAAGTAGATAGAACCATACAAAAAAAATTCTTACCCTATGCCACTAACTCGGGTCAGGAAATTGATAGATGAGCTTGTATCATCCTGTCGAATCTGGAGAAAAGAGACTGTTCTCTAACTCACTTGAAAAGTCACAGGAACATAAAGTAAGTCAGTGAATTATTGCACTTGAAAGTTGCTGTAGTCTTTTTAGATCTGACCTACTACCTACACAACAGAGACTCATGTCATGATTGTCTAGAACCACTCAGAAAGAACCTGGACAGGTGGTTTTCAGTGCCCAAGCCCTTGGCTCTAGAATTTGCTTCCTTCTTTGGTTTCAGAGAAGAGAGTTTGATACTCAGAGGGATGTTATAAGGCTTTAAGTGAGGCTGGTTCTTTTTTTAGTGGAGGGAGAAAAGTCCTTTTTAGTTTTTGCTGACATGTCTATTCAGATTCACAACCACATTTTTAAAGCCATTGTCTGAACCCTTCTATATACTGAAGTAAATTCTATATGTTGGGAATAAGTACATAAGAGAGACTTGGTCAGGTTTTAGATCCACTGGCAGAAGGGTGGGAGCCCAAATTTAGAACAAGAGAGGGTGCTGCAGGCCAGGACTAAGGTGCACTGGGAAAAGCCGTGTGCAGGAAGCTTTCTACATGTCTGTCCAGACTAAGGTAGGTGGCCCTGGCTAAAACCAAACTTCCATGAGAACCCACTTCATCAATTTGGTGAACAGAATAGGCAGGAAGGCAAACTGATCATATCCTGTAATATTTCCAGAGATGTACAATTTTTTTTCAGGATTTTTTGTTTTTAGATACCCATTTCTACTCCCCTGGCAGTCTACGTGCATCTCCCTCCTGCTTGGCCTCAGTCTCTCCAGAAACAGTAAAGCAGTTGCATGGAGTTAGCAGGAGGCCTTGGAAGGTACAGAAAAAAAAAAATGCCCACAGAGAAGGTCAAAGAGGTTCACCTTTTCAAGCTTACGTAGTTTTCCAGTGGATAAAAACTCATCAATCTTCTCAGCTATTTTAGCCCCTACTCCTTCCTAAAAAAGAAACAGAACCAAAAAGTCAATGAAACTTTACCTTCAGGATAACTAGCATCAGACATTATGGATAAACTACAAAACTAAATTCAGAAACTTGCAAAACAGAAACACAATCAAACTTACAAGACAATATTTTGCTAATGTTCATAATTGTAAGCAGCAGCATTATGAGCAACAGAAGCAGACTCTAATTTTCCCTGTTTTACAGTGAAATTTCAAAATGGGCTTTTAGCAAAATTTACAGTTCCTGCACTAAATTTAAACCTCTGAAGTCTGAGAAAATGCAGGAAAAAAGCATATCGTTGGGTCTCCTCAATTACAACTATGATAATGTATATTATAATGCACTAAAATATTAACACAAAAATGGAATTTAAGTGTGTGGATGATAAGAACTCGGATAAAACATTATCATCTGTTTTACAGCTTACCAGTTTCTTTGCTTCAGCTCCACTTTTTATCTTGCTTGGATACTTGGATATTACAGAAGCTGCTTTTCTATATATATGTATAAAAAAAAGACAGTTCCATTCACTTTCCAGCCTTCAGTGAACAGTATCAAATGACCAGACAAACATTTTGTGTACACCCTCATTACAGTGCACTGTGTGTGGTTCCACCCTGGAGCAGTGGCATCTGTATAACTACCCCCTATTTCTCATGCACCAGGAATACGAGACCACACACAAAAAAGCTTATCATACAGCAACCTGAATATCACTTTCCTCACTTTAACATAAGGGGCTCACATAAGGACTTTTATAAATAAGGTAAACAGCAATACTAACTTAAATTTACAAAAGAGCCTGTTATTCAGAAGTACTTTACAAAAACTACTTATCTGGTTAGCCACCTCAGATTTTTGGGGGGGGGGGGGGGGGGGGGGGATTTTTTTCCATTTCCCCACCAAGGGCCAGCTTAGAAAAATACATTAGTAACAATTTAAATTATATTACACAGGTTCATAGAACAGCTAGTTTTGTCTACTATTTTGACACTTACTGTATATCTGATGATAACACACTATTAAAGAATCTGGTGGTGGTGTTGTTACTACTGTAAAGTTCGGATATCTACCTGAATTTACTGTTGATCCTTAAATATCATGCTCTGTTACCTACATTATACGGACAGTCATTTTCCAAGCTCTCTCTCTGGAAACACAAGTTTCTCCTGTATCTGCATAATAAAGTCAGGTCTATTTACATACTATTTCTGAGCCTAAAGGGTATAAACTTTCCTTTTGGCTTACAACAATACTGATGTCTTCTAGTTTCAAACATTTTTTTTCCTATTTACCAATAGGCAAAAATATATGTTTATTATTATTCAAATCAAAACTAAATAATTTACACCTATTTCATCAATATACCAAACAGCACTTTATATGCTAGCTAACTTATACAGAACGCATTTCTCATTCTTCAAAAATGAAATTTTAGTTTCAATAAGCAAGTAATTACTATAGATATTTCAATTTTGGGGGGCGGGGGGAGGAGAACAGGCAGAAAAAAAAACCACCATTTTTTTTTAAATGCCATCTAAATTTCAAAAAAAGTTTTACGTCTCTTCTTAAGTGCATAATGAAGTATCTGGCTGGATTGGAATTTTAAGATTGCAGAACACAGTTAATCAAATTAGAATCTGGCCGAGACCCTGAGCCTAGCTTAAATTTAGAACATAAGACCGGCCGTACTGAGTCAGACCAAAGGTCCATCTAGACCATTATCCTGTCTTCCGACAGTGGCCAACATCAGGTGTCCCAGAGGGAATGAACAGAACAGGTAATCACCAACTGATCCATCCCCTGTCACCCATTCCCAGCTTCTGGCAAACAGAGGCTAGGGACACCACCCCTATCCATCCTGACTAATAGCCATTGATGGACCTATCCTCCATGAACTTATCTAGTTCTTTTTTGAACCCTGGTATAATCTTGGCCTTCACAATACCCTCTGTCAAGGAGTTCCACAGGTTGACTGAGCATTGTGAGAAAAAATACTTTTTGTTTGTTTTAAACCTGCTACCTATTAATTTTATTTGGTGACCCCTAGTTCATGTGTTATGAGAAGGAGTAAATAACACTTCCTTATTTATTTTCTAAACACCAGTCATGGTTTTATAGACTTTTATCATATCCCGCCTTAGTCATCTCTTTTCCAAGCTGAAAAGTCCCAGTCTTATTAATATCTCCTCATACTGAAATCATTCCATACCCCTAATCATTTTTGTTGCCCTTTTCTGAACTTTTTCCAAGTCCAATAGGTCTTCTTTGAGATGGGGCGACCACATCTGCACGCAGTATTCAAAATGTGGGCATACCATGGATTCACACAGAGGCAATATGATGTTTTCTATACCTTTCTTAATGATTCCCAACAATCGGTTCACTTTTTTGACTGCCTCCGCACATTGAGTGGATGTTTTCAGAGACCTATCCACAATGACTCCAAGATCTCTTTCTTGAGTGGTAACAGCTAATTTAGACCCCATCATTTTATATATATAGTTGAGATTATGTTTTCCAACGTGCATTACTTTGCATTTATCAACATTCAATTTAATCTGTCATTTTGTAGCCCACTCACCCAGTTTTGTGAAATCCTTTTGTAGCTCTTCCCAGTCTGCCTGGGACTTAACTATCTTGAGTAGTTTTGTATCATCTAAAGTTTGCCACCTCACTGTTTACCCCTTTTTCCAGATAATTTATGAATATGTTGAATAGGACTGGTCCCAGAACAGACCCTTGGGGGACACCACTATTTACCTCTCTCCATGCTGAAAATGGACCATTTATTCCTACCCTTTGTTTACTATATTTTAACCAGTTACCAATGCCTGTTGAATAAGACTGGGCCTGGAGCAGTTTCCCATGGCACCCAGGAGAGGGGACACCGCAGCCCTCTTTCTGCACTGAGAGCAGGGAAGGTTGGGAGAACAAGGTGATACCTGCACCGCTCACTGGCGCACCTACCTGTACGCATTGTACTTGTGGATGGCTCGGTTCACGTTCTTCTCGTAGTTCGCCAGTTCTGCGGCCCGGGGGCAATGGAAAGAGACACAGAGACATTTCTTACACGCACTCGGGTCTGACGGCTCACTCCGAACCGGTTCTCAGTCAAGAGCGGGCGGGTTAACATTACCGGGCTAGCACAGGCGACGAGTTATATTACCATGTGGTGCCCGGGCACCAGCAATATTCAGAGCCCAGGAGCCCAGCTCCACCAATATTTGGGGCCGGGTGTCCCCCCCCGCCACCCCCACGCCTCCCCCTGCCTCTTCCCCGCAGCTCCATGCTGCCTCCCTGCCGCAACTGCTGCCGCAGGGCCCTAGTGCCCCCCCATCTCGACTGCAGGGCAGACTGACTTTGAGCCTGCCCTTCCACCTCAGACCCTTCCCTTTTCCGGCAGGACCCTCCACCAGCACAGGGCCCCCCCGCCCCCAGTCACCACTCCTGCCCCATGCTGGGCAAGGAGGCAGCCCCCCATCCCTCACCCCCAGTGAGGCTACAGTCAGGGGCAACAGCAGGGGAGGAGGCGGCACATGCAAGGTAGGGAGATTCCTGGACCTGAGAGAGGCCCTAGGAGCACATGTGGTGACAGTGATGGGGGTGAGTGTGCTGCTGTGGGGATGGGAAAGGGGGGCTCCTCCCCCAGAGCTCACTGCTGCCAGCAGGGAAAGGGCTGGGGGAGACCTCCTCTCTGGCCCCTGTCCTGGAGCAGCCTGCCTGCACCCCAAACTCATCCCCAACCCTGCCCCACCCCAGAGCCCACACCCCCAGCCAGAGCTTTCATCCCCCCACTGCACCCTCAACCCTGTGCCCCAGCCCTGAGTCCCTCCAGCACCCCAACCCCCCCAACCCCAGACAGAGCCCTCACCCCTCACCCTCCTACTCTCGCCCTGAGCCCCTCCCACACCCCAAACTCCTCATCTGCAGCCACACCCCACAGCCCTCACCCCTACACCCCTCCCTCCACACTCGCTCCCAGAGCCCGCACCCCAATCCCCTGCCCCAGACTAGGGCCTGCACCCCAGACCTCCTCCGCCGCCACCCAAAACCCCTCCCAGAGCCTTGGGCAGGTGGGGGGGGGCGGAGTTTGGGCGGGGGCGGGTTCTGGGCACCACCAAATTCGGGCTAGTCCGGGGCCCCGGGTGCCCCTCACACGCTCCTTCCCCGACAGGCCAGGCCCGGCCCGGCCCGGCCGCGGAACCGCCGCCAATAGCCAACCCCCGCCCCGCCTCCCGGCGCAGCCCCCGCTCGCTCGCCCAACCCACCGCTCAGGAAGTCTGTGATCCCCGCATTGGGGCTCTCCTGCGGCGCCTTCCGCTTACTCATGGCGGCCCCGGCTCCGCCAGCGGCCAGCCGGCAGCTACTAGGGCAAGCGGGATGATGGGAGCGACAAGGGAACTTCCGGTTCCTGGGGACCGGGACGGGGGTAGCCGCAGACTCCTCCTTCCCCGCGCCCACACGCGGGGGAGAAAGCACGAGACGCAGTGCATTGTGGGTAATTTGGCAACCTCTGATCAGCAAGCACGAAGCCTGCAGCACCATGGGAGGGGTAGTGTTTCTCT